CTAGCACATACGGCACGTCAAGGCGGTGAAAGCCGACCACTATTTTCAAATTTTAACACTGAAAAAAGAGTAATAAGGTGAAGGTTGCAACTGCTGTTTTTTCCTTTTATTTTTTATTTTTTTGCTTTAACCCCCACCTGAAGATATTTTCTCCATTGATTTTTAGAGAGAGCAGGAGGGAGGAAGGGAAGGGGGGGAGACAGAAACATCCATGTGAGAGAGACACATCAATTGGTCGCCTCCCGCATGTGGCGCCCTGACTGTTGCCAGGGACTGAACCTGCAACCACCCAGGTATGTGCCCTTGACCAGGAATCGAACCCGCAACCCTTCGGTGCGTGGGCCGACGCTCTAAGCAGCCAGGGCTCCCTTACTTTCCAAAGAACAGGAGAGGTTTGAACATCATGAAGCATTTGTGACTATTCCTGGTGACCAGCACTGAGCATACGCTCTCAGCAGTTCCTGCCGCAGGCTTGTTTCCCTGCCACCCGCAGGACATGTACTGCCTGCTGGACGTCGATGGTGTGTGGTTGAGGGGCCTCCTAAAGCAAATATTATGGCCCTTCTCCAGGAATGGTACAAAAAAATAGCTGGTTATTTAGATAATGAGGAACTGGGTCCCGCCTCCTGTGGCCCGGAAACACCTTTGTGTTTTCCTAACACTTTTGTGTCTACAACCCACAGAACACACAAAAGAGCCCGACCTGGTGCACAGCTCATCCACATTTATGAAGAATACTAGTGGCAGTGCATTTTCATTTTTAAAATCCTTTTCTATTCTTTCTATTGTATTCTGTTCTATTTCATGAAAGAAATGAAAAGAGACATGGGTCCACATGAATGGATTTTGACATGCAGTTTGACCAGCACTGTATTGCCCCATCCTTGCCCCAGGCAGGCCTGACTGCCACAGATGCACACGTTTTATATTAAAAACAAGGACAGGTTACTTAACCTCACGTATAAACTGGGGTTGATTTTACCTGCCCGACTCGTCGGGCTGTGTGAACATCAAATGAGACCCTTCATGAAAGAGCTTTCTCCCCATAAAATGCTGCACAGGTGAAAGATTAGGTTATTGACAAATCTTTAATTCTTGGCAAAATACTCAACACATTATTTTTCTCAACTATGTTTGCTGATTTTTCACATTGAGACTCAAAATGCTAACTTTGTGTTTGTAGTTAAATTTTTGGTTGATTTGTAAATTTAAAAAAAAGTAGTTTGGTTGATTTTGAAAGAATGCTGACAACTATAGTCACCTAGTGCATTATAATCATTGCGTGTTTCATGTGTTAGTGTGGCTCCTACCTTTACAAAGTTGATCAGCAGAAATTAAATAAGCATCATTTTGAAAGGACATTGATCCTTTATGTTTAAATAATAGTATTAGTAGAGTTATCAGGAGAGTTTTCTTAGCAACCATTGTAGTAGGTGGTAGGGAGAGAATACCTATTGTCCCCAAGGCAACAAGAAAGTGATAGCAGGTAAGCCCTTTAATTCTTGGAGACTGTCAACATACAAATAGGTACATTTAAACCAAATGCTCTTATGTGAATTAGTGCTAATTAGTCCACATATATTCTTAGTCCTCATGTAGGCTCTCATGTTCACCATTCAAAATATATGCTTTTGATCTTGTGCTTGTGACTTTTGTTGTGTAAGTTATTTTCAAAGGCCTTTTCTTGCTTTTAGACTCTGGGTGTTGAGAGATAAGGGAACGGTTTGTGTTGGCAGAGTGAGGCTCCGAACCTCCCTGGTCCCAGGAGCTCTCATTCCTGTGTATGTGTTACCCTGGAGGGAGCTGTCCCAGAATCAATATTTGCAGAGGAAATCTCTCCCAACCAACTCATATTCTGATCAGATAAAAGAAAAAACTAAGCTCAGAAATCTAAATAACTGCTTCCCCCTCCTCTTACCACATGAGTTGCACCAGGAGGAGACACAAAGAGAGAAACTGCCTCCTTATTTATTCCTTGACATTAATCTTTGTATTGAAGGGCCGTAGAGCTCTCCCGTTTAGCTGACTATGTATTTCATACATGAGACTTCATGGGGAAATCACAAATCCTTTTAAGCCCAGTATAAATTAAGTCTCTGTTCTCAACTAGTATATAGGAACCACTGGCTAAAAAGCATTTTTGGAATCATAATTTTTCAGTATTTCCAAGAAAATAATGTTATCTCTGTGTTGGGGGAGACCGAGGTTTTTACTTCGTGATCAGGGTGCTGTGGTTAAGAGTCCCCCAGAACTTAGAGACTCTCTCCACTACGCTGATTGAGATCGATGGCTGAGTTCCCTTTGCCAAACCCCTTAACTTGCTTGTGCTTCTATTTCTACTCTGTTAAACAAAGTGTAATGCAAACAACAAATATTGAGATCTTCCAAGACATGACCAGAAAATGCAGCACTATTGTTGGGGAGAAGCTAGAACTATATAGGACTGAACTTTTATCCCAAGTACTCTCTTGTGTTAATGTCTTCCCCCCTTCCTTCTATCTATATGTATTAAGAATTTTGCCTAAAACTCAAAAAGAAGTGTTAACTCTCAATCCTGAAATTGTATTTCATTGTTCTGCATGTCCTATTTCTTAGTATAAAAAGGTAAAAAGAAATGCCTTTACCCCAGAGTGTTATTGTTTTAAAAACAAAAACATGAACTTAGTAGGTAAAAAGTATTCCAAAATTTAACTTTCTTTGTTTTCATCAAAACTTAAACTTGAAGGAACAAAAATTCAAGTAAAGTATAAATTAAGTGCCAGGGTGTCCTTGGTCCTTCACGTGGGTGAAGTCGTCTCACATGGGTATCATATCGATTGTCCCCTCCGGGAAAATGACTCCCCCTTGCAGGGTGAGGAACGAATTCTTATATTATTTCAGTTAGCTAAGTGGACTTCCTTACTCCTCCAGCCCATTGATTTTTAAGTGGAATTTAGGATGTTATTCTATATTTTATGCTTTCCTTTGCATTCACCTCTAGTTTAGTAGAGAAAACATTAGTGTTTTTCTTTATTCTTAAATTTCCTCCTAATCTGGCAGCAGTAACAACAGGGGGCCTTCTTTGAACGAGCATGAATGGACCTTTTTGCTGGAAACAAAAGAGCTTCTGCCCACTTTCACTGCTCCCCCCTGGACTTTTGATGCTCAGCTGGTAGGAGTTATCCTAGGTATCCACGGAGTTTAACAGAATCTCCCTCCTGTCTTTTTTTTTTTTTATCAATAGGCATGAAAGACGGGGCTTCTGGGTCACTGGGGAGCAATTGTTCCACCCAGTAGTAGTTACAGAGCTTGGACTGTGCACGGCGTTTAGGTGGGCGTAAAAAGCACGCAAAAGCAAAAGGTACAGGAGATGATATTTTTAAAAATACCAAGCAGAAATCATAGTTTTTAAAAGTACACAAAACAATGCAGACTGAATCCAAAAGTACAGTGGGCGACCTCATTATCAGTGGGGTCGGTATGTTTTTGGCCTGGGTTGGGGACTTTTTGGTCTGCCTTTGATGGAGAGGGCTAAAAAGAATAAATGCTACGATTCATTGGCAAATTGTGTCCATTTTGTCTAAAAATACCGCTCAAATCCTCCGCGTTTCTTCAGCTCCTTGCCGCCTCCCTTGTCTGAGCCAATGCCATCTCTACCCAAGGTGAGAGCAAGAGTCACCTAACTGGTCTCTCTGCCTTCTGTCTTGACTCTCTTAACTCTGTTCTCCACAAAAAAGGCAAAAAGAACTTCGGAAAAATGCACCAAATCGTGCAATTCCCGATTTGAAATTCCTTAGTGCTTCCCCACGTTCTTAAGCTAAAATCTGAACTTAACCGTGGCCCGTACTCTCTGCAGCCTTGTCTCATAGGATCACTCTCGCCTGTCACAGGCGGCTCCATCTCAGCCCAAATATCACCTCTTTATAGAAGCATCACCCCTTGTCTCCTCTCCAAAATGACCTCTCCCACGTGTTTTTCTGTCATTTCCCCATTTATCGTGATCTTTAATTCCATTTTATTTTTTACAAATTATTGTTATTGTTATTATTAGTTGTAGTAGTAATTGTTCATTGGCTGTTTCCCCAGGTAGTATGTGTACTTCATGAGGTCAGGGCGTTATCTGTCTTGTTCATAGGAATAACCCAGTGCTAGGCATATCGTTGATGCTCAATAACTATTTGTTAAAATGGAAGAGCAAGCTGCATAAAGAGAAAAGTAATGAAATCACTGTGCTTGTGTCCGAGTTGGGTACAGTATGTTTTGATGTTGAATGTCAGGGTGAAGTTGGAGATTAGGAGGAAGCTAGAGGGCTCAAGGAAGACCTCCAGTGATGAACAGAGTTCACTCTTGATAAGATAAGCAACACATAGGCCAGAGCATGGCACTTGTTGTATTTTTTGAGATTGATTATTTTGGCAGATGTGCCTTCACTGGATTGTATTAGGGAGGCTGGAACCAGGGGCTTTGTGATAGGTTATTGCACCAGCCCAGAAAGGGAGACAAGGACTTGGACAGGGAGATGCTGCGGGAAGGTGGGAGAGGGGGTAGACTCAAGGCTCCACGGCTTGGAATTGTGTGGTAGCAATGCATTGAGCAATCCAAATACAAAATATTGTGCTTCCTTTATTATATAACGCTAAACTATTAGACCAAAAAAAATCACAGTAAAAAATGACGTTCTCACATGAACTTAGTAGAGGCCTTCATCCACACCCCAACTCCCCTTTGGGCGAAGCACAAAACTGATATGTTGATGTCCTGATAGGTTTTGGTGAAAAGTAAAATGAGATCAAAGTTTTCCCAGCCACTGATTTAATAAATGAGAAAATCTGCATGAGAAGTGCCCAGTGCCATTGGTTAAACTCTTCATCCAAGAAGTAATAAACTAGTACCAATATTTACATTTTGTGATTCTACCTAACGTTTTTACCTCTCAAATTGCTACCAGAAAGAAAATTATCTGAAACAGTGTTCTTAGGATGCTGTGTGTATTTAATACCACTCTTTCTTATTTATTTAAGCGATTGGACAAGATGAGGAAAGCAGCGACAAACCTGTAACTGTGGCCGAAGCTGACAGTGTTCCAGATCCTCAGGTAGGATCAGTTCTGGGCCAGCCCCTCGCTGTGCCTTTCTTTGTGTTAGTGCAGGTTTGATATGTTTTACCTTTTGTGTTTTGTAAAATAGTCATATTATGAGAATAAAGTGCTTATTTTTATAGAGAGATATTTCATCAAAAAAAGGCTTTATAAGTCACATTTATAATTTCATTCATGGGGAAGGGACAGGTAGGGAGACATATTCCACTTCCCAGAGAAAGCAAGGAAAGTAAGCGATGACCAGGAGAGAGCACCCCTCGGGCAGACCATCCCCTGGAGACAGCCAAGGAGGCTCAGCTAACAGCACAGCCGGGGCATGGCCAGACAGGTCAACGCGATGCCTCACCGGCCAGGATTCAGTGCCAGCCCCAGTATCATAGCATGGATATGCTTTTAGTAGCAACTTACCTCCAAATACTATTGCAGCATAAAAACTTGGACACCCTAACGCTGTGAACTGTTAACTTTATGTAAAAGCAGAGCATTTAGAGGTTTTTATTGGGGACAGCAGGAAGAGAAACAGCATGAGTGACTTTCTTTTGCAAGTCCCTAATTTAAAGACATTCTTTTGCAAGTCCCCAGTAATTCAACTCTACTTCTCAGAATTTTACCCCCCCTTGACACCCAGCTATAGCATTATGTAACATAGCTAAAGAGCTGGCTACCTTAAGCTGGTTTCTTAACCCTTTTGAATTTTAGATTACTCACCTATAAACCCACCTGGCAGGATAGTTGTGAGGATTAAAAAGAAAAGTATGTAAGATAACTAAGCCACTGGATTTTATTATATATGAGGACATGAAAGAAGTGGGTCCAGGTGAGTCTACTAGTTTGAAATGGATTGTGGCATGTCCAGAGCAAAGGGCTGATCTACCCAGGTAGAAAAACCTGGCAGACTATATGCTCAGACAGACGGTGGAGAAACTCTGGGAGCATGTGAGTCTTTGGTGAGCCCTCTGTAGAACAGGTAGCTGTTCTGTTCTACAAGACCCTGCAAAGGAAATGGCCTTTGAGGTCTGTGTCAACAATATCACAATATCACACATGTTCAAGCTCATCAAGATGTTTACGTTAAGTATGTGCAAACTTTTTGTATACTTCAATAAAGCCAAAAAAACGGGGGGAAAGAATCTTAGCTTGGCTAACCCATCGCATCTCCCCTTTAAAGTTCTGAAACTGTCCAGAATAATCACTTTCAGGTTTTCAGTCAAGATTGCATTGTTTGGAATTGTTTTGCTATGGTAATGATTCAAAATGCTGCGATCCACAAGTTCATTCCGAAAGTACATGTCAGGCTTCCAAGCATACCCAGCAGGGATTCCTTTCTTGAAGCTTTCTTAAATCATTAAGTCTTTAGTGGGACAGATGCTTCTAAACTTAAATTGTTATTTTTTGTTTGAACTAATTCTGTGGGCAGAAGTCTGTCTTGATGCAGTTTTATCTCTTTGTGTATCTCAAAAGGAGACACAGACCCCGCTCTTGGAGATTTGGGGGTTTTCTTCAGCAGCAGTGACATAATCGCACAGGACATACAGAGGCATGAAATCATAAAAGCAGTTGAAGCCAGTGAGTCTATTAGATTAGGAACAGATTCTGTTTAGGCTTGAAAGTCAGGAGTTAAGTTCACCAGGCGGGATGCACAATCACAGTGTCATAGGCCTCGGCTGTGTTGGAAGGAGGCAGCCATCACCCCTTGATGCATCTGAGAAAGCTTTTTCTGCTACTGCAGAAGCAGCACCAGGTTCTTGCCTTGATTCTGCAGGTCCATCTACACAGACACTCTGGGTAGAATCCTCAGGAGTTCCAGGCATGTTAGGCGAGCTTAAAGAAAACGTTCAGATTCCCCATCCGCTAACTAGGCAGAATTAGAAATAGATGTATGTGTGTGCTTATGGGTGTGTATACATGCGTCCACTTTTATTAATTTCTTTTAAAAATATGTTTTTATTGATCTCAGAGAGAGGAAGGGAGAGGGAGAGAGAGATAGAAACATCAATGTGAGAGAGAATCATCGATCAGCTGCCTCCTGCACACCCCCTACTGGGGATCAAGCCCGCAACCCACGCACATGCCCTGACTGGGAATCAAACTGTGACTTCCATGTTCATGGGTCTATGCTCAACCACTAAGCAGCACTGGCCGAACCACTTTTATTAATTTGATGTTTGATGTATGCACATATAATTGACCAAGCACCTATATGCCAGGCTCTATGGTATTTCACATGATTGCAATCTTCACTCCAGAGCATATTTTAGACAAGTTAAGTGGAAATTGTTTTTTTCATTCCTTTCCCATATGGGATGAAATGTGTCACTGTGGAGAAAAATGCCCCTAGGCTGTTGAAAACATTGGGTGTATGAAGGGGTAAGACCATCACTAACCCCAGAGAAACTGGCCTTGTACAGAGGTTTCCCACCTACCAGAAAACTCCAGTTCTCCCTAATATGTTGGTTCCTTTTTTCCTTTTCTTATTAAAAATCTTTTCTGCTTAAGAAACACCGTGCTTTAATGCGTGATGTGTGGGCAGAGTGGAGAGGAGTGCACGCAGAGTTGAATTTGCCTCCTGGCCCGTCTTCCCTCCTAGCCAGTGCCTGTAGGCAATTCTTTATGTCTCTAAACCTATAGGTTCCTGTAGGGTAGCATCTGTGTCTTTGTCATGAAAGTGTCCCCATCGTGCTAGGCAGTGATTAGCATGCTTGGTTTTCATCTGTGTAAAGCGGAGATATTAAGAAGTTGTCATGAGATTGAAATGAAGCAACGTAAATTATGCCGACCATACTGGCACGTAGAGGAGCCTCAGAAGGCCAGACGTCCTTGGTTCCTTTCCTGGCTCTGCCACAGCAGCCTTGGGCAGGTGACTCCACTCTCCTGTGGCCCACGGTCCTTTTCTGTAATAGGATTGAGAGTTAACACTTATGAATGCAAAACTCCATCTGCACCAGGCACTCTTCTAAGCTCTTCATTATTATTAGTGTATTTAAACCTCAGAGAAAACTCTGTGAGGCACATAATATAAATATCACCACTTTACAGATGAGCTGGTAAGTGGTGGGGCCAGGAATCAAACCTAGGCAGCCTGGCTCGGGCATTCTTGCTTTTAACCACTGTACTAAACTGCCTTCCTAGCAGCTGTAAAATGGGGGTAAATGTTGGGTTGTTTTGAAGATTAAATGAGTATATGTGAAGTAATTAGATCGGTGCCTGGCATGTAGTACTCAAAAAAACTCAGCGTCGTGAGGTGTCATCATCGTCATGATCATCTGTCACATTGCTTTTTGGCCTGAATATTTAAGGTGCCTGACGCAGCTGGGCTGCAGCAGCACTCTCTACCTACCATTATGGTGTCTTCACATACATAACCATTCTAGTCCTTTCACTCGTTGTAACTCTTTGTGTAGGACTAAGGATTAAAGAATCTTTATCAAAATGTGCAGACTTTTTGTCAGGTCCCAGTTTAAGGGTTCTAGTGAGACCTTCAATGATAATTTATAACGTGTTGAACGTTGGAAATTCTCCCATTTGTTCAGGTGGCCATCGACCACTGGATTTGGTCGTTATTTTCATTACCCTCCATTGGAATAGATTATTTTAATGCTAAGTGCTGATAACTGTTAATTATACAAGTTAACTGACAAATATTTGATGATTCATTTATCAGTAGCCCAAGAGTAACTTTTCCTTAGTAGGTTGAAGAAAGCTCTTATTTAAGTCAGTGATAGGTACCATAGAAAACAGATGGTCCTTTTAAGTCCTTTATGCTAGAAGTGATTAGAATTCACTTATTCGGTTGTTTTACTTCTTTATTATCTGTCAGCTTTGCTGCCCTGCTCGGCAGTGTGATCAGTAATATATACAGATCTGATCTGTAATTTCTCTCAGGTCAGAGCAAGATAAAATGTTGGTGACCTCTCTGTTCTAGTCTGAAAGTTCAAGGAATCAGATATATGTGATGAATGAACCCCTTGTTTAGTGAATTATGTAAAAATATAATGTATTTAGTTTCATCAGAAGAGAAAATTATATGCGTATAGTAGACCAAGAAAACATTCGAGGGAAATCACAGAAATAAATTTCATGTCCTATGGTTTCTGCCTGCTCCCAGCATGCTCGGGCTGGATGCAATATCACCTAGTGTTTGTATAGGATGGGTGCTCTGACCAGTGTTGAGGTGATTCCACAAAGGAGGAGAACCAGAGGAGTGACCCACCCTGGATTTGCATTGCTTCACATGTACAGTGAGGGCCTGGGGGTCAATGATTGATTTCTAAGGCCCTAAGAGGCCCCAGCATATTGTATTATTTTCTGTGGTGGAAATAGGCACAGATAATTGAGTAATGAAATGTACCATCCCAACCCATCAGTGTTTGATTCTGCCATTTGGATTTTCTGTTTCGAGTAGCAAAAAAAATTCTTTTGTGACTTTCTAGTCAAGATTTAATTTTTAAAGAAATGAATCTATAATGTAATAATCAATAAGAATTTGTCCGAATACCCTAAATTTGTATGGCCTAGCATTCTGTAATTGTAAAAGTGCTTCATAAAAGACAGGCTCTTCCATCCTGGATTTTCCCTTGATAGCAATCTTTGCATGCTGTTTTTTCTAAGTGATCTTTAAAGTTACAATAATGCAGAACATGTTTCATACATAGAACTGTGCTCTTTCACCTTTTGTCAGAAAGGTGGTTCATTTATCATTGCAGCTTTTCCTAAGGGAATCCTGTCCAAGTTTCACTTACCACTGAAAAATGAGCCCAACACTTTTATGACTCCATTTATAAAGGAAACAGACTTTTCATTTACATTCATAACATTTCTCAAATACTGAAAATCATGAATAGTTTTAATGATACATTACACAGATTTTTTTTTTCCAAAGCGGACCTTGGCATAAGGCTCTTTGATAACTCTTCTGATGTGAACACATTAATCTTTTATTTTTTTTCTGGCCTAGCAGTGTTAGGTAAACTGTTTATAATTAATTTCATATCAATAAA